ATTTTGGAGAGACTTTGGTTTCGGGATGACTTGCCAGTACAGATCTGATTTTATCAACATAGGTAAGAAAAATACACTCCAATACACCTGCCTTTTTGCTAAAACATATGAAATTATGATCAGCCTCCCTTTCCTTTGCTAATATGTCTGTGTCACTAATTTGCAGCATTGCTGTAGTTAGATGTTCAAGCTTTTTCTAGGTGCAACAGAATTACCAGAATCTAAACACTGCTTACAAATAAAATACAAATAAAGATAGTGAAATATTTGAAGATGGGCAGCTTAATGTTCACAGAAAGTGTGTGTGTTTTAAAGGGCTGACTGGAGTCAGAAAACAGCTGCAGTGCAATTAATAGCATTGAGTTTGCTAACAGATTTCTAGTTTTGATTTTTTTTTTGGGTTTTTTTTTTTTTGTGCCAGGTGGCTTTGACCTGGACATTAAAGGCTGGGGTGGTGAAGATGTGCATCTGTACCGCAAGTACCTCCACAGCAACCTCATGGTGATCCGAACACCTGTCAGGGGTCTCTTCCATCTGTGGCATGAAAAGCAGTGTCTGGACGAGCTGACTCCAGAGCAGTACAAAATGTGCATGCAGTCCAAGGCCATGAATGAGGGTTCTCATGGCCAGCTTGGGATGCTTGTTTTCAAGCAAGAGATTGAGACACACCTGCATAGACAGAAATTGAGCAGTAAGAAGACATGAATCCAGAAAAAGAGGTTGAAAGCCTCTGAACTGGACTTCAGGGTGTTTTGGAAAAGAGCTTTTAACCAGAAAGTTGGGATAAGACAGAGAGGATGGAGATTCCAGAAGGATGGCAGTGAAAGAAGAGGGAAAATGGCTGTCCTCTGTACTTTTGTTTTTATTCTAATGGGGTTTTTAAGTATCCCACTATCCTGACTATTCAGCACTTGCTTCTGGGAAAACTTGAACACTTGATGAGATTCAAGGTCACATCACAGAGACAATGAACATTATATGTTATTATGTGACCAGTGTGGTATTCACACTAAGAAATGGATGTGCTTTTCCTTTGAAATGTTTGTAAGATGTGTACAGTTATTTAAAGGATTGACCTTTTGATGGGCCAATAATTAGGAGTTATTTTCTACATCTAACTTGACATATCCAAAAAGGGCTATTTTTGAATAAGTACAGAGACTCTGCTCTGAGAAGGACATCTGATTGTTAACCATGGTAAAGCCAGAGTGACCAAAAATACTTTTCCTTTAAGGGGCTGGGATGGTGGAACAGCAGCAGTGCATTAACAGGCCGTTCCCAGTTAATCCAGAGAAAGAGGTTTCTCAGAAAGTGCTTTCTAAACTTAAGAAAGAGAAAAACTCACTGGTCAAGTGTGATGGTTGAAAAATGCTGGAGGGTACTGTTTGTTCTCCTCTGTGGACGGTGAACCAAAAGCAATGAGCCACATCTGTATCATGTGAATCACATTGTGTATTTCTGCTTTAGAATGCTGTATGTATTTCAAGATTTGTTTTTAAATGAAATTCATTTGGCTTGAGAATTATTTTGCCATACTTCAGGTTTTCTACTTCTAGCCTTAGTAGGAAATAGTATAAACTTCCAATGCTTGGAAAATGCTCTGCAGATCTGTGTTCCTGTGGATGGGAACTGGAATAGATAAGTGATTTTTCTACAATACCTGGGCACTGGAAGGCAGAGGCCTTATCATACTGAAGAAAAAGAAATACATATCAACTTGCAGTAGTGATTTAGCAGGAGGCTTTAAACTCCAAATGTTAGATACCAACAGTGATGAACATTTTCTGACTTTATACCAAAGTATTTATTCTAAACCAAATACATAGTCTTACCCAGGATATAGAAAACTCTCTGTAATTAACAAAATAAATTTTTGTGATGGACTACTGTACCCTGCACATTCTCTTATGATAATTATAGATACTAATTGTAAACATTAGTCATCTTCTTAATAGTTTTTATTGCAATTGCCTAAAACTGTTCAAAGTCTGAGTCACTGCTCTTATAAAGCATTTTCTTTTAATGCTGACTGCTATTTACCATTTTAATATATATTAGCCAACAAAAACTGCACAGGTTTGTAAATTCCATTTGCTTTCCTAAATGCTGTTTCTCTGAGCAGTCTGTTTTTTGCATTCAGATTAATTCAAGGCAGTCTGAACCAAATTCTAATTTGGTTTTTGGCTTGTAAAAGCTGGGGGGAAGAAAGGTAGCACTGAACAATGAATGAACTACTCTTTGTTGTGCAGCTGTGCAGTAGGAAGAGCGCTATGAACCTCTTTGGAAAGCACTGCATGCAGGTTCTGCAGACAGAAGCCATGCTGCTGTAAATACCTTTTCCTTGGACAGGTTTATATGTGTTTGACTTTTGCTGGTGCAAAGAATCCACACTGCACTTGCCTTGCAAATCACCAAGTGTCCAAAACACTGCAAAAGTACAAAAAGAATAGAAACTTTGTATACTTTAAAACTTCAACCCCAAAATACATCACTTACCATAGAAACTGCAGCAATCACTCAAGTAGATCCTCCAAAGAACCCCTTTGTTCCCAGAACATGTGATTATTTATAAAGTGCTTTGTATTGATGAAGTAACTTTACAAACATTATGCAATAGAAGGAGACAGGCATGGCTTGTTGAGTGCATATCAATGTGTGGTAACGCAGCTGCTCCAAGGCCAAAGTTTTCCTGCAGTCTCACTTAAACCTGAATTTGAAACTGGGTGTTGTACACTGTGGAAGTTTTGTAATCATGACATTTATCAAGCCTCAACTACTGCCATGCTGTTTTTATTCAGTCTTCACTAAGACACACTTGTAGAGCAGAACTAGACCAGATGATCTCCAGAGGTCCCTTCAAACCTCTATTAGTCTCCAGTTCTAAGCACTGGGCAGTTGTAAATTCAGCACTTCATTACTTTGCAAGCATGTCATCGAGATCCTGTCAGTGTTTCACAACTTATGTTTTTAAATAGCACCTTTGTGATTTTCATGTATGTCATTTTCTACAGATATGCTGTTCCCCTTGCCAGGAATAATACTGTACATGCAGTTTCTGTTCCTTGGCTGCAGAAGCCAGTTTGGCAAGAGCTGAGATGGTATCAGTGATGAAGAAATCCAGCCCACAGTCATTGCCCACATCAGTGATGTGCAGGGTAATCTAATCACAGCAGAGATCTGTCAGGGCTCTCTTAGAGATGGAGACTACACTGACAGGAGAGGTGAAGAGCAGCATGAAAAAGGGAAATATTGCTGTTACTTATATTTCTGTCAGCCAAGTGGAGCTCTAACAGGTCTTCCAGCCCAGTTAGCAAAAGGTGAAATCCAAAGAGAGCAGCCAACAGAACAACAGATTTTGTTATGAAGGTGTCTACCTTCCTTGTCCCCAAATCAGCTTGTGATCTTTCTCAGAATGACAACTGATTGGATCTTGGTTGAGGAGGGACTAGATATGGCCCTGTGCAGGTGGGGCGGCCATCTGGGGACTCCTTGCTTTACTTTTTGATGACTGCAGCATACTCTGGCTAAAGGCATTGAGCAAAACAAATTGCCATGCTCATCCAGGATTCATAATCTCTCCAGCAAGCAATTGGCAAATGGACTCCTCTTGTAATCCTTGCACAGCATCCCTTGAAGAAGGAAAGATTCTACAGAGAAACTTCCAAAGGTATGTCATCACTCTTGATTCTCAACTGCTGCAAGACATCCTTGCTCCACAGACTTCCAGGGTAGCTGGATTTTGGAGCAATGGAAGAACCAGTTTTAAGGGGGTCTGTTCTAACAAGGTAGTTGCCTTTGCAGTCAGTGCAGTAATCTAAATGTTCATATTTCTTGCCTCGCAGCAAAAAAGTGGGTCTTTGAAAAACTAAGGCATGACTCAAACATGTGGGATGATGTGAACATGGATAGTGGTTTTCCCTGGGCTGAACTGAGACAATATTTGCAAATAAGTAGTTTAATATAAGGCAGTGAATCTACTAGTTCACTTGTTAGCAGGTCAAAGCCTGAGGAGTTTTATTAAAGATGTTAGAGCTAAAATTGATTATGTCCTGCTATGTCCATGCCAGATTGGCCTGCATCTTATTTTGCAAGTTAGCATCCTGAGTCTCAAAATGCCTTTTTAGAGCATACTTGTCCTCTTTCTTTACCAGTCCATAGGTCTGCAAATCACTTCACGATTTGTCTCCAGCAAGATATCAGCTATGGCACATTCTTCATGTGAAAACATGTGTTTTTCTGAAGGACCTCTCATTTTGACCATATTTTTAAAAGAAACAGTTCATAAAGAGGGAAGGAGGGATGTTCCCCCCCATAAATAATCTAACACCCTTTCTCATGATTGATGCAGATTATATTGAAATTATCTCTTTGATATATGAGATATGTTGCTCAAGAAGCTCATTAAGTCATTTGCAGTGGCAGAGTGTCTTTACATTCAGAATCTCAGTTTACATTAGGGTTTTATTTCTAGCAAGTGACACTTGCTGTAACTAGAGTGCAGTTATCCCCTCCTTCCTGGAATGGAAACCACCTGCCAGCATAGTTGCAAATTTTAAGACCAGATGATAACAATTTCTTTAAATCTATATTCTGACAAACCCAGATTAATGTAAGACTGAAAGTTTTGACTGCTTCTTCAAGCTGAATAGCCCTGATCTAACAGAAAAAAGAGAACAGGAAAAAACAGGTAAACAACTGAATCAAGACCGACTCCTGTTCACTATTTGAGGATTGTGCCTCTAAAAAATTATGTTTGCAGATTCACACCACAACCCTCAGCTGCAGAGGGTTGTCGTGTGCAACAACATTAGGGAACCTGGATGAAGACTAATTTGTTATGTGATTCTGTCTAAGCTCTCCCCCAGTCTTCTGAATGATGTATTTAAAGAGCATTGTAACAGATAAGAAAAGAACATTATGTTGAAAGAACAAGTTCTGTGATGAAGTTTACACCAGATGCATCTCAGTAATCAGGTTACAACTTGCAATAAATAGCTCCATTTTGGAAAACAGCATTCTTTACTGGCAAAAACTCTTCTGTAAACTGTATTAATACTGATATAGGTGTTCCTTCTTACATTTTTAGGCTCTGTGCATGTGGTCATTCACACAAATGACTCTGTCCCATCTCCTTTCCTTTTCAAACAGGATAATCCCTCTCAATGCAGAAAGGCCTGTGTGGGAGTTAAATACAGGTTAAAAGAGTGAGGATCTATATTCAGAGGCTAGAGGAGTTTAAAAAATGCACTCTTCATGTGTGCTAATATCTTGTCACAGAGAGCACCTTCCACTGAAAGGCACTCAGGGTTTGCTTGGATGTTTGGCTGAACATCCTTCCTTCCAAGAACACAGAATTTTATAGAATTAAGCTTCACATTATGCAAATTACATATCAAGATCGATTCACCTCTCCAAGTTGTTTTATGTGTTCAGGAAGGTATAATCTTATTCAACTGTAGGTACTAATCTATTTCCCAGAGAACCTTGCATTCAGGAACAAAAGGCAGCTTGAATACAGAAGCCCCCCAGGAAACCTACAAAAACCCACTGAAAATCCACAGCAGTATCTCCCTGATCAACTAATTACTTCATCAGCTCATTCTCTCCATCTTCTGGGATGTATTCAGGTGCTTTGCAGCTTGCTGGGCTGATGCATCCTGTAGCACACAACAGTACCTATCCTCCTAATGCTTTGTTGTGAAGGATACAAAAAGAGGCACGTATGTTTTCAGGTAAGTATCAGCAGCTCTAGTTCCAAGTTCTTTGTAAGTACAAGTCTGGCCCAACGAGATGGGGAGGTTTACTCAAAGAGAGAGATGTAATCTGGCTCTTGGTCCTCTTGGCCACATGGGTAAACCAACAGCTCCTTCCCCAAGGAAGTGATGGGTTCGTCCTGTTAATATAGAATATGATCAAACACAGTTTTCAAACATACCCTGCCTGTCACAACTTCACAAGGTGGACAGCAGTCTTCCTGCCTCTGTTATGGTGTGGATGTGCTCCTACCACTGTGTGATACAACTCAGTTTCCTGGAGAACTCAGGGAAGGGCCCTCTGCTCTCTGTCTTCATAAAACCATGTCTGTGCTCTGTGCCATAACTCAGTGACGCAACTCTGGCAGTTCTAGGAAAGAGCTGTGTTCATCCCTGAGGAAACTACAGCTTCTCTGACATGGAGTGGTGCCCTGCATAGAAAGTGCTAGAGCCAGGACTGTGCAGCATGCAGGTAAAGAATGACCAGGGCTTGTGAACTGTGCTTCTGGCTGTGTTTGTGGAGGGACACAGGTGGATTCTGGAGAGAGTACACACCCTCTGCTTAGAACAGGCAAGTCCTGTTCTAAGTACAGACCAATCTCATTCTCCATCCTAGCAACAGATGAATGCTGGGAACTTGCCTTCTTTTATGGTCACCTGGTGGGTGCCAGTGGGGCACTTTGGCAGAATGGGTTCATCTGCCCACATGTGCTGCAGTGTAGGGGTGCTGCCTGATTCTTTGCAGACTGTAGGCTTGGCTCTATATTTGATGTATATATGCACAGCAAAGCTTTAAATCCTTTGACTCTGGTACAAAGAACTGTATAACTCCTGCTTTTAATACTTTCAGCCTGAACTGTGAAAATCATGCAGGAAGCTCAGGCAGTCCAGGTAAAGTTCCATAGAGCAAATGAGTATAGCTATTGCTCTCATGTCCAGTTTTGTTAAGCCATGTCTGTATTAAGCTATGCACTTATTTAAAAGAAATGGGGATTTTAAATGAACTTATGAAAAAAAATTATAGACCTGTCCCTGGGCAGATCTTACAGTAAATGAATGAACAGTCCATCTGGCTCTCTTTGAAACCCATGCAACTGCAGTCAGCGCTGGTAAACACCACTGTTATTGTTGGAAGAACCTGCCAACCTTCCTCCTTCCCTTCTATTTTTACCTTTGCTCAGTGCCACCCCTTGTCTGCTTTGAGATTATAAATATACATTGCTCTCTTTCATGATGAAGCTGAAGGTAAGCAGGATTTTGTGTTTACCCAACTTGCCAGTGCCCCTTAACCATGGAGAGAATACAAAAGAAAGGAGTTTGCATGAGTATGCTGTCACCTCTCATCAAGCTACTAAGTAGCTTGTAAGTAACTTGGGCCCAGCATGCAAGGTGTTCTGTGTTCTTGAGGGTGAGTGAATCAAATCTAAGATATCTGAGATGTATTAGGTTGCCTGGGCTGTACCAGTCAGACTGACATACCCTTCTGGATAGCACACAGCATACCCAGCAGCAGTTACAACGGGTCTAGTTACCTGCTTCAAAATAACTGAATCTAGTCTTATTTTGAAGTGCCCTGAAGCAATTAAGCAGTTAATGAATGTATTACTAGATGTTCACCTTGTGATAGTCTACAAGGTCAGCCAGCGTTGAATGTTGCAGCTGGTCCACTCCAAGGAAGCTGTAGGAATCACTGGAGGCATCAATGAGGAAATGTTTACATCCTTCCACAGACCGATAGGAGAGCACATAGCCTTTGATTTTCTCACTGACTCGGATCAGAAAACTCCCTGGTAGTGTTTTAATCAGAAGCTCTTCTGCTTTCTTAGAGGTTAGGATACCTGTTCAAAACCAAAACACAAAACTGAAGGGAGAAAAGCATTTGTGCAGGACTGGACAGAACAGTTCTCACAAGAAATATGCTCTAAAACCAGTACATGGCACTTCCAACCCTTTCACTCTTTTCTTGCCCAGTAGCCCAAGAAGAGTTCTGCCATTTCTAGTAACAGGCCATGGCCAACAGCTCTTTGTTAACTGTGCCACACTTGGCAATGACGAACAACAAATGTGGAGAGCTTGAAAAGGCTGTTGCTGTGTTGTGAGAGAGAATGCTATTCCACTTGTTGTATGTTGATTCCAGTATAGGAGCTCTACTGCCAAGCCCAGCCCATGTTAGCAGTCATGTTAGCAGAAAAAACTCCTTAAACACTTGGGTTGGGGTGGAAATTCCCAGGACTCACCATGGAACCAAGGTGCTATTGTGTCTGTGGTTTTCAGATAGCCAGCTCGGAGAGGGAATTGCTCCTCTTTGAACCATTTGATGATACTTTCTTCTGTGGAATTAGAGACTGTCCTCTGGACTCCCTCTTTCCTGTTAGAAAAGACCTCTGGTTTGTACATCAGATTCAAAAGACAGGTTTTGAGTCCCTGTGCAGGACTTAAATTTTGCTTAGGTTTTTAAGACCAGCCCTAAACAGGCAGCTTACACCCGTTCAGCTGTATGGAATATGGTTTTCAGCAGACATGTGGCACCATAGGGGCTGTGTGTGCTCCAGGCTTAGGACATGTGACTAACTAAACCTGTTACCCTCCAGAAAAGAACACCTGAAGGCCTCATCACACCCTAGGCTGGAATATAGCCTAGGCTCTGTATTTCTCCCTGCTGGGTGTCTCTTCCACACAAGGAGGAGAGATAACCATTCCTTTCTCAACCATCCCATGCTAGAGCAAAAGAATCTCATCCCTTCTCCTTTCCACTGTGCACAGGGGCTTCCTTACCTAATTGCTCTCCCATTTGCCATTGCAGGAGGTAGAAGTTTAGGCTTGGGGGGGAGAGGTGGATATTGAAGTGGTCGCCGATCTCCTGCTGTGGCACTCTTGGAAATATCTGCCTGCTTCCCTCTGTGGATGCCTTGCAGTGAAAGCCTCCTGTAGTCATCTCTGGCTTGCCGTGCAAGGGAGCGTCTCTTCTCATCTGCTGCCTTGGATTTCTGCACTGGAACAAAAAAGGAGTCCTACAGGAGTGAACAAGCAGCAAGTTTAAAACTTGCTACCCTTCGGCCATCTTCCTGCTTGTTGAAATGTAAGAATAATCCATTTCACAAGCTGAAAGAGTCACTCAGTTGTGAGACCATTTGCCATGTCTCTCCCATGTGTTAAGTGGCACATTATGGCACATTATTTTTTAAAAGAATAAAAACCAGTTTTTTTTCTGGGACAAGATTTAAAATCTGTATGTTTTTTCTTGGTACCAGGTCCTTTTGTACTTAGAGACTTTTTGGTTTTGTTTCAGATGCTGACTTCTGGTTCAGACATGGATTTCTGTAGTGCCTTTCGTGTAAACTGATCGGGGGAGGTGGGGGGGCAGGGTTTGAAGCTGCTGGAGTTGAAGCTGCTGAAATTACTCCAGATCAATCATTTGAAGGATTTGATCGTGCTTATCAATTTTGGAGGGTGAGAAGGATCCTTGCTGAAACTATTATGGAAAGTGGAGAACTTGACTGTATTTTTGTTTGGGTTTATTTCCTGTAAAATTGACTTGATTGTCTAGGTCCATCTCTCCCTGGAGTCTGAACGAGTAACCAGCTCTCCCGTCAGCGTTTTTTTTGTCAGTCAGAAAACCCCCTAGACTGAAGTGGAAACAACTGGTGGTACAGCATTGCCATCTACTGAGCAGCAGGGGAGGAACTGGGAAGAAAAGTGCATCAGGTTCTCCTTCAGGAAGCATTTGGCAGCAGTGATGGATACTGCTGCAAGTCTCATATTGGAACTTCATAAACTAGAAGGCCAGCTTCTAGTTTAAAATTAATTGTACTGGCTATACTCATGTGGTTCCTATTTGTTGCTTGTTTTAAATAGTGTCAGTTGGGAAAGTTTTCCATTTCCCTGCCCAGCTCTATTCTCGATGCTGAGTGGACTCAGAAATATTTATGATAATACAGTGCTGTATTTCTTGGCAATACTCTCCACCCTCTGACCTGTTATTCAGTTCTAGTATGGCAGGGGAAGGGTTGAGATGACCCCACACAGCCCTAGGATTTCTCAAGCCTTGTATGAAAAGGTAATTTTAAGATCTTACAGAATTCTTGCCATTCAGGCTCATTCTCATCCAATTTCTGCAGTGTTCTCTGGCTCTCTGTGCTGGAGTGGTCCTGTGGTATTGACTTCTGGGGGGCTGTGATCTCTTCTGAATTTTTCCTCTGTGCTTCCTTCATCTATTAAAAAAACAGTATGTTCAGCTTTGTCTCAAGCAAGCTTTAGCCCTGCTTTTTAGCTAGCCTTGAAATACTGGGAACACCCTTCTTTACAGTGAATCCCTCCAATTTCAACAACATGGAGACCCTCTGTCTTTACTGCAGGTAACAACTCAGGCAGGAAGGGAAAACAGCCCAGTAAAAGTCATCAGGAGCATCTCCCTGTGCTACTCCCCAATCTGCCAACCTGGCCTGCTTTGTGTCATCTCCAAATCATCACACCATACATGAGGAGCATGGCAATACTGGATAAAACTGGTCCAAAAGGTGAGAACATTCTTGGCTCATATGAGGCTCTGACTGGGACTCTAAGATAAAGCACTGACCCCACTCAATAGGCACCATGGGTTGCCACTTACCTGTTGAAAAATTTGCTTCCTCACATGGCAATCTGCCAGCATCTGGTGAACACTTCTGGTTCCCCTCTGAGCAGAGCAAAAGAGTGGTGAGAAACAAATGTAATGTTAGGACAATTCCTCTTTTTATTTTGGTGCAATAGGTGTTTAAGGCAAAAGCTGACTTGTTAACAAATGTGACATTTGTTAACAAATTTTGCCAGCTCTGACAAACATTGCAGGGGTTTTCCCATCATATTTGGCCAAACATGCCACAGGAGAACTCAGGAGTGTCAGGATAGCCATAAGCATGCTTAGATTTGCTAAGGAATGCTCACAAGTGCTCCCAGGGAGCAGTCCCTTTCTTCCCTTCCTCTAAAGTAATCCCTTGCAGAACCTGCTGTCTACAGCTTTACCTGCCTGTGCATGTTTGCAGCTGTGGCTGGGTTGCTGCAAACTCCTACTTGACAAACTGATCCAACTGGCTGGATATTTCATGTTTTCTCTTCCCTGAAAACCAGCCCAGCTGCCCTGCCAGCAGTCCCTAGCTGAGAGTTGCCTCTGCAGACGAACTGTTAGGTTCGGCTTTCAGTAAACACCCACCCACCTCCCCATCATACCCCGATTGCCTCCCACAGTACAAGTGATGAGTTAACTGTATTATTCTGCTTACCAAGGTCACACTTCCTTTTAGCTCCATCACCTACTTGGCTAATATTTAATATGAGCATGGCTTTACAATTTCCCTCTCCTCAACAGGAAACTAGGAACTTCAAATGTCTGTGGAGCAGTATTTTTTTGTAGATCAGCCCTATTCCCTGCAGCATACCTGGATACCTGAATCCAAGATACCTGGATCTTTCAGGTTAAATGGGAACTAGATCTCAGAGAAAGTATTTTAATGCAGGAGGTGGGAAAAGGCCTCTCTTCAGGCCTATAAAACACAACAGGGAACTTCAGTCTGGAGTCCTCCTTCTAACAGCAAAACCCCCAGAAACCTGGGAAAATTTACTAATAATAAAATAACGGAAAACAAAGGAAAATATATGACCTCCATCTATTTCCATATGCAAGACTTTTAAAGGGGGTTAGATTTTTGGTGGTGGCTTGTTTGCTTTTTGGGGGTTGTTTTTGATTTGTTTTGATTTTTTTTGGTCAGTTTTGACTAATAAGTTCCTTTGAAAAACAAGAACCTCCCACATAGTTGCTCAACTTCAGCAAACAGTGCAGAGAAAAACCCATGTGACTCAGAGGCTTTTGATAAAGGAGACAGTCACTCCAAATTCCATTCACTATTTTGGTAGCAGTAGGAGAGCATTTTGCCAAAACCCAACCTTCTGTTATCATACTTCTATACTGAAGTATGGAGTGGCAGTATGATAAAAGAATATTCACTCATACAAGTTTATTCAAGGCTGAATGAAAACTGCAGAATGAGATAGAACTTCTCCCATTAAATTGGCAGGATGTCCTGTTCCTTTTGTTCAATTGTAGTTGCATGGGTAGTTAATTTAACTCTTTTTTTTTTCCTTTCTCTGCAAATGTTTTTTTGTAGACAGTTAAAAAAGCACAAATGTATTTATTGCTGGAAAAAAAATTTCTGTAATGAAACACCACAGAAACACAGACACTATATTACTGCATTTGGAGTTGTCCTGTGCTATCAATATCATAAACTGTTTTCTGTATTAGAAGACAAAAAACCCCAAGAACCACCTAAAATATGCATGTCAGATGATGCTGGTAAAACTATCTTCATTTGATCTTTTATAAAAGTAAATTATTTGGCTGAGGGCTGTGATGTTCCATTTAAAAATCCTAGGATAGCCTCCCTGGTCTTGCCCCAAAAGCCATTCAAACCAGCCATGATGCAGAAGGGAAAGTACTGCACCCCTTGCTTTACCCACAGAGAATGAAAGCAAAGGAATTCAGAGTAGTTTATCCATTTGTGCAGAGCAGATCTATCCCAGCTGAGAACAGCACATGGACCTTCTGAGTCTTAAGGAAGGATGTAAAACATGGCTTCTTCTCTTCTGTAGAAGAAAAGCTTCAACAGATATATGGCTTTTTCCTTCAGGTTTGTATTTACAGCAACCAGGATTTGCTTCACTTCCTAGACCTCAAAATTTGCTTCACTTCCTAGACCATGTTTCTTATAGTTACGGGAAAATGGAAAACTACCTTTGTGAGCTCCTGGCTTTTTCCTGTTGTATCAATATCAGCCATTCTTCCCCCTTGCTCCTTCTTTTTCTCCACAGCGTTCTTTTTATTCCCATGAAGATCTGTCTCGGCCAGAAGTCCTGGCTCTGGGTGTAGAGTCCATGTTGCAGAAGAGTCAGTCTCTCTGAAATGCGAGAGAGAGGACTTAGGAGGGAGTCACCTTCTGATGTCTAAGCATCTTGTGAGGAGGCTGCATGTGAGCAGAGCAGAGCTGCAATGAAGCCACATGTGCATAGGCAGTTATGTCTCTAGATCAGGTAGGTGAGTAATTAAATTAATGACTTGTGGTGAGTAACTGTTGTCTGGATGTACCCAAGCACCTGCCGGTGAATCAGTGCGATCAGAGCCCATCACCTGCTGCAGTGACAGCATCAGCATTTCCTGTGGTCTGCAGCAGAGGGTCCCACGCAGCAGTCATGTCACAGGAGGCTCAGTGAGCCTCTCAGTCTGCAGCTGCTCTCTGCCAGCATTGTGTGTCCTCTCAGAAAACCAGCCTTTGCCTGTGCCTTTTGCCAGCAAGGCTAGCATGACAGTGCTAGCCACAGCCCCTACAGAGAAGACTCCAACTCATGTGTCCCTAGACAAAAGCCTTCTCGTCCATGTGTGCCCACCGAGTCCTTCAGCTGAAGGATGCTTACCTGCCCTCCTGGCCTTGCTCTCTCACTAGGCGCTTTGTTCTTTGTGCCTGGATCTCTTCACAGATGGCCGCATAGGGTTTATCTGAAGGATGTTCGCCCATCACCCAGACCCACACTTCATTGTCAGCGCCGAGTTTCCATGTCACTGATTTCCTGTTGGCTGCAAAAGAAGCAGCTCTTTGGCAAATGCTGTTGGTTGGGTAGCTCTTTTCAGGGGCTATGTTGCACTTGCTGAGCCCTACCAGCTGCTGTTGGTGACAGAGATCCCCAAAAGCAACTCTACATGAAGAAAGCTCAACTTGAATGTAGCCCATACTTGCCAATTTTTTCATACTCCTTGAGCCATGTCAGTGAAGGAGGCATTTCTGAGACTGGGAGCAAAGGGGAAGAATCACCACTGTTTCTTTTCTTGATTTAATTCCTGACCACTGTCCTCCCCAAACTATGTGAGGGTGAGGTAGCTACAAATAGACCATGTGAGGGAGACCTGGAAGAAGAGAGCTATCTTCCTAGTAGCTGGCATGCTGTATAATCCTGGCCAGGGAACTTCAGATCTAAAATTTCAGTGCGAACTGCCCATCAGATCTAGTGCCTCAGGACAGATATTCAAATTCATAATTGTGTTAAAGACAGATTCTGAGGCACCAGTTAGTGGGAAACTTAATGAGATGCATCTCCTGGCGGCAAATAAGCCCTGTCTTCCCAGCTAGAGCAGTTGAGCAATTTGGTCAAGGACAGAATGTCTGGGCCAGGGAGTAAAAACCATTGTGTACCTGGCCAAAACTACCCCATTGCAGGTGGATTTATTTATGTTTGAAAATAAGCCTATGTATTGTCCCTTGGAGAAGAAATTAATCAAATTAATTAATACATTACTTCCTATTTCTAGGAAGGAGTTGATTAGGCCAGATACGTGCCAGAGGGTGAAGCAGCCAGGAGGTAGAAACTTACCTTTTCTTGGCAGTGGCTTCTTTGCTGAAATATTTTCTGCAGCAGCTTCTCTTTCCTCCCATCGTCTGATCTGTTCCTGCCTCATCTTGAAGAAAAGGATCTGCTTCTGCTCCTCGCTGAGTTCAGCCAGCAGCTCCGGATCGATGTACATGTCTGATAATATCTGTTTCAGCATGGCTGCAGGTTTCACTTACGCACGTTCGTGGCGATAATCTTCAGGGATCAGATCCTCTTTCTGGCTCCGACAAGAAAGAGTGCCTGCCCGTCTGAGACTGGAGTAGGAATGCAGGCGTGCCAGAACAATTATACTTCTGTCTCTTTCCGTTTGTTTTGTTTTTTTTTTTTTTTTTTTTTTTTTTTTTTTTAGCTCAGACTTCCTGCACAGACCAAAAAAAGTAAATAAGTATCTTAAAACCTGCTGTTAAGATTCCTTGGAATAAGAGGTGAGCTCAGCTCTCATGCAGCCCCTGCCCGCTCTGCAAAGAGAGCTGGCCAGAAAAGGCGAGGCCTGGAGTGGGGAGGTTGTGTTGATACTCTGATAAACCCAGCTGATAGTATATCAAAGAGAGAGAGCGCTGCCTGTTAGTCATCAGAGGTGCGGCTTAGCTGTGCTCAAGCAAACATTCTTGCTGGGCAGGGAATCAATGAACCCATGACTAGATGGCTCCTCCTCCTTCCAAACAGGAAAACTTTGATGATTAAAAGCCCAGCCTGCCTCATTTTACCAAAGAAAGACAGAGAGGACTTTCGACTCTGCTTTTGAGGCAGGAGTGGGAATTTCGGAGTGCTCCCGTCCATCAAAGTCAGCCTCCCAGCAAGTCAAGGGAGCACAAGGAGTGCAGCTGGTTCGAAGAAAGGCGATTTGGCTAGCCAGCATCCTAGACAGCTCCTGCTATGACACATCTTGCTGATGCACCTGCCCACGCGGCAAGCCTGGCATGGGACATCCTCATCTGACAGGATGAAGCTGATGGGGAGAAGGGGCATCCCTGTTCCTGCCCAGGATACTGGCTCTTGTTCAGTGCATGCTGGCAAGGTACTAACACCCACACTGCCTTGCTTTGTGCTCATGGATTTACATTTACAACAGAGATTTCACTGGAAAATTGAAAGCTCTCCTGTCATTTGGGAAGGTGACAAATGAGAAAGTAGAAATGAGGACTAAAGACCTTGAAAACAACTATCTTATCTGGATAAACTCGTGGGGATCAGGAGATTGGTTGGCAGTGCTTTTGGTGACATGAGGAAGCTGACAGCCACGTATTAAGTGCAACACCAGAGCAGGGTGTCTGACTGGCCAGAAGTGGCAGGGACTTTCTGGACAAACTCTTGGGAAATATTGCTATTGAAAGAAAATTAAAGCAAAGAAAATTAAAGTGGGATTGTTCATGTCCTTCTGCACAAATCCTGGGAGTCTAAGGAACAAGCATGCTAGAATTTAGCACAGTAGGTGGGAGGCAGAGGCTTATGGAGGCAGTAATGTGGAAATTCAAAGGACACAGACATGGCAGGACCCGTGCTAGGGTGAAGTGGGACTACATATTAAATCAAATTAATGGGGTCAAATCAATTAGCCATCTTGCAGGAGAAAGACTGGACTTCTAGGAACCCAAATGTTGGAAGAAAAGTGCTGGGAGCATCTTCAGCTTAACAGTATGACTGCTTGGCTTCCAACAAATAAAATAACAAAGGAGATAGTAGACAAGCCAGCAAGTGCAATACTGAAGCTTCCCAAGGAGCACACAGAGAGCACACAATTATTTAGATGAAATGGGACAGCACAACAGCAGCTGTCATGAAGTAAGACTGTCAGAACAGTACTTGCTGCACTGGTCAACCTTCCTCCATCTTGCACCCATGCTGGGACCAAGCAGTCTGTCCCAAGCTTCCCGCTGAATATGGCTTGCCTTAAAATTGCCAGAGACACAGCTGACTGGAGCCCCACTCCAGTGAAGTCCCCATGCAATTTCAGCAGGAGGAGCTTCAAAGAAGCTTGGAGCAGGGGGAGTACCTGTAGGCAGGGAGACAAATTGCTCCTCAAGGACCTCAAGGAAACAAGAGAGCAGATCATGGTCCCAGAAATGCATTGTCTGCAGCAGAAGCCAGGAGCATGCAGTGACCAGCAGTTGGTGTTAAGTCTTCTTATTTCTATTTTGTTTCTCTGATTACATAATACTTTCCCTATTAAAAATGTTAACTTCGTTCTAGAAGGAAACATGAAGCTGCTGTTCCAAATCAGCATGGATTTGGTTTAAACAAATTACTTTATTGATTAAAAAAAAAAGTTTTTAGGGGAGATGATCTGACTTGAGCAATGATTTATGAGTACCTCCCTGATGGCAGAGATTTTTCAGCTCAGCAGCCGAAGGGTCTTGGGTTGTCCTCAAGCCATGGAGATGGCAAGTATGGAGAGGGAAGAGCTTCCTGGGACATGACACATGAGACTCCATCAGCAGAATGCGTGCAGCAGCATGTCCATGCTGCTTTGGCTTCTCAGGAATAGGAATGGCTTTGCTATGGCATTTACTTAGGAGAACATGATGTGCTGTGCCATATGCCATGGTGACAAAGTGGTCTGTCTTTCCATGCCTGGAGACACAGTGTGTTGACAAGGTGGAAGGGTGCTCAGCAAACAAGTTTCACAGTACTGATGCAGTTTTGCAGAGTTGTATTTCCTCGTAACATTGGTTGTAAGAGGAGATTTATAATGCTGTATCCCAAAGGTACCCTTTAAAGCACCAGCTATTTTAACAGAGGGAAATGATATAAGCATGTCGAGAGGTATTAATAGTCACTATTCTGTATTAATAGTCATTTCTTTAAAGATCTAGAAGCTGGAAATCCTTGTAATCAGTCATATGCTGTTCCCAAAGTCTGAATCAAAGCCATATTACTGACACCTGGCTGGAAGTGATTTTGCAGATGCTATTCCAGCTGTAAATAGTATATTTACAGTTCAAATTTGGTGAAGACAAAGACTGCAGTAATGGCAGAGGGACCCCCAAGCAGGTAACTTGGAGGAAAACTGTAGTAGAGATCCTGTTCTATTGTTTGCATTTTTTTAATGGGAGTGGTAGGTGGGAGCTGGTTTTGTGGAGAAATAGAGATGGGAGTAGCCAAAAATAGCAAAACCTAAATGGGGCATGTGGGAAGCCAAATCAGGGCTTTGGGGCTCTGTCACTCATGTATAAGATACTCAGCCTGAAAGCCATAATGATAAACACAATTCAAAGGCTAAATGATCCTTCAAAATGTTGTCCTTCACACAACATTTAAATCTCCTACTGGAGAGCAGCCTCATGATGTAAATCATCTACCAGGAACAGGGGAAAAGAAGTCCATGAATACACATGAAAGTGCCATATCTTTGAGAAGAACTGGCACGAGCTCCTGCTCACATGTGCAGCAGGTGACACTTGGGACAGGACAGGCTCACAAGACACTCCCACCTGGCCATACCGGTCCTGGTCCTCACCATCAGTGCTGCCAGCAGAGGGGAAGGTTCTCCAAGAAAACAATAGACAGATAGAAAATCACAGATATGATTTTCATCAAGAAGTCAAACAGGACAGTGTAAATGTGCTCATTTTCAAGGAAGGCAGCTTATTCAACCTGCTGCACACATCTCCACTGTAAATGTGACAGTAACTGTAAATTAAAAATAACCCAAGAAACCAAACAGTGAGGAGGAAAGAGAATGCAAGAAAGGCTGCTTCAGGGTACAGGCTGATGACCTAAGAGTATTTCTATTGTCATAAAGTAGTTTTCTCCTTAAAAGGCAGATAAGACCACTTTCCTCAGTAAATAGTGGAACTATATTGAGTCAAGAGCTTCTCCTTGGAGCTGCTTATTTGTTTAGTGAGAGGTGGCTTCAGAGACACCACTGAGCATTCTTTTCCCTGATCAAGAGGCTGGACTGTGAGAATGCAACTGAATTTCCTTTCACTTGCCAAACTAAGCCTTGCAGCACTAGGAAGCTCAGGTTTTTCTGGATTTCTCCAGTTCCAACCACTCCAATGCCATCAGCTCTCTGCCAGACTTCATGAAGGCATTTCTGATTTTTTTCAGAAGCAAAGCAGAATTGTAAAACCCACCTGAAATCAGTGCAGCCAAAAGTAATCACCACCTTAGCCTTGCTCTGAGTATACAAGCCTTCATGGCTTAACAGTTGCACTTGTGTCAGAAAACATTTATGTTAGCAGCTGCACCAGCAAGGTTAGTACCAAAATATCCTTCCGTGCTTTGGAGTTTGGCTGTTCATTTGTTTGTTTTGTTCTTGTTCATTAGGGGCTTTTTTAAATCCTCATCCTGTTCTAAATAGAGGGAGTGATTAACTCCTCTCTTTCTGTTTAATTTTGCTTCAGCCTACTGTTTCTGCTTTTTTTATTTCAGACGGAAGGAAAACTTCTAGTTTGGGTATAAGAGAAGGAAAACACAACTGCACAAGCCCAGCCCCCAAAAGACAGAAGCAGACCTGTTTGTATCTCAGCATTATAGAATGACTTGGTTTGGAAGGCACCTCAAATATCATCTAGTTCCAACCCTCCTGCAATGGACAGGGCCACTACACCACCCAGCTTGGCCTTGAACACTTCCAGGGATGTTCCAGTGCCTCAACACCTTCACAGGGAAGAATTTTTTTCCTGATATATAATCTATCACCTGCCTTCTGTCAGTTTGAAGCCATTCCCCTTGTCCTATCACTCTATGCCTTTATCCAAAGCCCCTCTTCAGCTGTCTTGTAGCCCCTTTATGTACTGGATTCTGCGTAAGGCTAGCATATAATGCTTAAAGAACAAAACCAATGAAGTCACCACAGCATAAACTACTTTGAAATTACCTATAGCTGAACTGACTTGCCCTATAGGTCCCTGATATTGCTGGAGGGGGCAGCAGTTATCTTGTAGCAGGTAAGAATGGGTGGTAATGACAAGAAGGAAAAATAATTTGAATAGCAACAGCCACTGAACACAGTCTGAGACTGCAGGGCTCTATTTTCAAGGAAAATGTATCTTCCCTGCTAGAATAATGTGCAAACATTTATTGGATCATCTCCCTGTATCAAAATCACTGAGAGAATTAACAGTGTGGTGAAAAGGGTGAGAGCTTCTCTAGGTTAACTCACAGGATCAGATACTCAACCAAACTCAGTCAGTGTAAAAAATGAGATTTCTCTAACCATATAATTTGATTTACTGTTCTGCACAGAAACAGGTGCTGGGTGGTAAATCCCAGAGGCAGCACCCCGAGGCACAATCTTGGGCTATTAAGTCTTACTTAAGTTACTACTTGGCTTAAGTTGTTACTGGCGCATGGTGGTCTTTTTGTAGGGGGAGATGCCTGAGCTGGGGTGTGGTTTTTACTATTATAAGGAGCAAAAGTTCATCCCTAGGGCAAGTTCACAGTACAGAACCAGTCAAAACTGGGGATTTTTTTAGTTCATCATTACACATTCTGGACTAGAAGGGTGTTATCTTTCTGTGTTTTCCCCGTTCAAGAACTTAGGTCATAAATTTTCTCTCTTCCACATTCCTGTGACTGTTGCTTTCATTGCTTAACCACTTTGTTCTTTACCTTGTTTGGAACTTCACTCCCATTATTCATCAAGGTGGTAAGAGGAAAGCTAATGTTTTTACAATTTGATGAGTGACAGTACTGGTATTAACATATTTGAAACGGGTCTTAATGTCTGTACTAACTTTGGGCAGCAGGTTTGTTGCAGAGACCAGACAGCTTAGCTCCTGAAACAAACAAGTGGGTCTGTACAAACCTCAATTTCTCAACTTTGGGGAAAAATGGTAGGTACAAGGGGGAATATGTGGTAGGCAGTTTGGGAAGGCTGTACCTTCCGAGTACCTCAGCCAATGGAGAAAGGAAGAGGGCAACCTGCAGCTGGGAGTTGAGGACGGATGCTGTGCCCTCCGAAACCTTGAGCGAGAAAACCCCGTGAGCTTGTGTGCGGGCCTCTCTCCCTTTATTCAAATAAAGTTGCAGGACTCCTCTGTCTCTCCTGTATCGACATAAACTTCTGTCGTTTGTGGATTTTCCTGACAGTGGGATCCAGTACTGGGGCACCTGTGGGGAATCCCACTGGAGGCTGAAGGTCCAGTTGCATTGGTCCAAGAAGTTTAGTCCATCTTTAGACAACGTACAATTATGTCTTTTCATATTTAAGTTACGATAGTGATTGATTTGTGGCCCTGTCAAAAACCAGGATCATTTGAAAAAGCACAAGCAGTAACGAGCCGGAGCAGAAATGAACTGGAGCCACAACCAAACACGGAAACAAACGGGAGCTGCAAATAAGCTGAAGCCGGAAAGAAGCCGGGGAAAGTGAACCAAATTGGAGCCTAAAACATGCTGGAGGCACGAACAAATACTATGAGCTGAACCTGAGACAAACTGGGGACAGAAACAAACCACCTGGAGCTGCAAATGAGGTGCAGCAGAAACTAAAGAGAGCCTGTCCCGAGCTGGAATCCCGAAGGAGCGGCAGCCGCCAGCTCCGCGCAGCACCTCCGCAGGCGCGGCCCCTCAGAGGCTCCGCGCCCGCGCCGCGCACTGCCCCGCGCCGGGCGCCGCCTGGCGGGCGCGGCGCAGCAGCGCAGCCCCGGCGGCGGCAGCGGGACGCGCCGGCCGCGGGCAGCGAGCCGCGGCTCTGGCCGTGCGCTGCAGCAAGGCTGCGAGAGGACAACGCTGCACACCCACTCCTGGGAGACAGCTCCGCGAGGGACGCCGTTAGGAACGTGAATCCACGATGTCAGAGGCTTGTGTCCAAAAGAGGGACAGAGGAGTCGCGTGGCTTTATTTGAATAGAGGGAGAGGCCCATGGCAATTTCCCATCGGGTCTCCCAGATTGTTGGGGGACTCAGCCTCCTTTTTGTCCTAAGTTCCTGGCCGCATCACCCTCTTCCTCCTTCCCGATGGCTGAGTTACTTGGAAGGTACAGACTTCCCAAATTGCCTCCTCTATGCCCCCCTCTGATACGCAGGCCCCTTTTGTTATGTAAAATAAAGAAGTAAAGGTATTAAGTCTTTGTTCCTTTTCTCTAGGTTCAGGAATTTAACATGGCCTTGGCTAAGCAACATTCCGTGTTGATTAGTAACATTTTTTAGAACTAATAGTTTCTTCTGTTACTTCCCTATCTGTAAGTTCCTAGCTCTATCTACAAGCAGATTGAGGTCTGTTTCTAAAGACACATTTGTCTTATTCCTTTCGGACACCATGCCTGGCATGGATACCGGAGCTAGAATAAGGACACTGTAGTTTGAATGTAACATTATAGCTGAAATAAGGACACAGTAGTTTGAATATGACACCATAGCTGGGATATCACATTCCCAAACATGCCCCGAACATGGCAGAAACACCCTCCCACCCCCACCTTCAACCCATGGATTAACCAGCCACAGCCATAAGGAATTTGTCAAAAAACATTTTTACCGCTGAAATCACTTGAGGCAGAAAACAAGTTTTCCATGGCTGGAAAGGTCTCATGGAAGAGTCTCACGTCTCCACCCAAACATGTCCCACTCCACGGCCCTCTGGCCACAGGCGCTTCCATGTCCCCTGTGCCAGTCACACTTCTCCGTATGCCCCACTCCAGACAAGCACCTTTCCATGCTGGCCCTGGCCATATCACCCTGAGCCACCGGGGGCCACACGTCCTCCCCCAGGCGTGTCCAGCCCATCTCGCACGCAGCCATCCCGGGACGGGAGCAGGAGCAGGAGCAGCGACAAGGCCATGGCTCCCGGGGGGACGCGGCGGGGCAGCGCCCCCGCCTCGGCCGAGCCCGCGCCCTTTCCCCGCCCACCGCCCTCCGCCCGCCAATCAGCTCTCGCTGCCCGCCAGCCTTGGCCAATCGCGACGCGCGGCCCGCACCCCGCCCCGGTGCCCCGCCCCGCCGCCAGGGCCGCTCCGTCCGAGGCGGCGCCGCCGCTTCCGGCGCGCGGGGCCGCCACGGTGCGCGCCTGGCGCCGCTGGCGCCGGTGGCCCCGCCCCCTGCCGCGTGCTGTCCGCGCGCTCCTTCGGGACCCGCCGGCACCGGCCCCGCGGCCCCGCAGCGCCTCCGCCGCAAGCAGCAGCCGCTGGCCGTGGCCAGGTACGCCGGGACATCCCCCCCGCGGGAATCTCCTTCCGGGGTGGCTGGGCGCGGTGCGACACCGCCACCGTGTGCCGTCCGTGTCCCTGGGATCCCCGCAGCCGTGATACGCCCTTTGTTTGATGGGCGGGCTCTTGGGCTTTGCCTGGCCCCAGGGCTGGGACACCTCTTGACTGGGACACCTTCCATTCCTGAGGAGAGCCTGTGGCAGCCCCCCTTTCGGGGGACAGGGCTCGGCGAGAACCCCAGGACCATGCCCCCCACTCCCCCATTCATGGGATCCTCCCTTTCTGGGGATCCTGGGACACTGTTCCCCCAACAGAGAGGTCACTGTCCCGGGATGAGGTGGGGGTCCTTAATACGAGGGTCCCCCGTTTCTCTTCCAGGCAAGTGGCCTCCCAGTGTCAACTGCTTCAGTCATCCTTGGAGCGCCCGTCCTCCCCACAACTTCCCCAGCTACCCGATGAGCCGATGTCACTCCAAGATGCTCCAGGGGGTCTTTTCCAGATGCCCCCTGGAGACCCATTCCCTGAGCGGGTGACAGTAGTCTGGTTATCGGTGCTGGCCCTTGCCTTCGCCTTGGTTTGTGAACCTCAGGAGAATCTGTCGTTGGCTGAGATCACCCTGCGGCGCCTGGCTCCCCGCCTGCTCCTCTCCCTGCGCCTCCTTGGCCCTGGCGCTGATGTCCTGCTCCGTCCAGATGCTGCTGATGGCCTCCTGGACCGTGTCCTGCCCCATGGGCAGATCCTTTTTCTCAATGAACGTTTCCTCCGGGCAGTGGACTGAGAGCTGGTTATCAAAGCATCCCGCTGGGCTACAGATAGCATTCCTGCCTACCACCCCCAGATATTTTTGAGGGATGAGAAACAAGGGAGGGATCTGAGATGGTCACCAAGCCCCACTGGGATGGATGAGAAACATAGTTCAGGAATAAAGAGCAATGAGCCAGCTAAGAGCAGGGTTTTGATCCATTTATCCCCCAAACAGCATAATGGGAGAGCTAATAGCCATCCCCATAAATCCACCTGTCACAGGTCCAGACTCCAAAGTGCTTTCCCTTGTAACTGCACTTGTAAAGCTGGAGCACTTGAGGAGGGGTGCTGGGCACGGGGCTTCAGCCATGATAGGTTTCTGGCTGTGTCGGGGGATCTCACTGTGTGCTGGAGCTGTGGGGGCATTGCAGCCCACTGTGGCATCCCACCCTTAAGGGGAAGGGAGCACTGTCTTCACCTTCCCATGTGATGGCAGCTGTCACCCACAACTGGCTTGAATACAACCAAGAGCCAAAGAGATGTTATCCTGGAGCATTTCAATGGTGTTAGCAATTAATTGTTGATGAGAGTCAGCTGGAATCTGAATGTATGAGCCATTATTGTATCTGCACTGATAGGATTCCAGTTGCTGGATTTCAGTATCACCTAGTTTATGGCCAAAATTCTCTTGCAAATCAGCCACCTGAATTGGATCAAATGGGATAGTTACTTGTGTGTGATTGTCCTCTCCACCATGAGGTCTAGCAGATTCAGGGGAAGTTGAAGGAGGTAAAGAATCATCTTTTCCCAGTTTTCTGTTTTGGGGATTGCCCTGTATGTTTCCATCCCATGTAAGTCTGCCAGACTTTTCCTGGAACTTTGGCCACCATATATAGCACTGTTTTGGTAGCAGTTTGCCGACCCTGTCCATCATCTGTATTTCAATTTTAAGTAAAGATCATGATGTTATTTCCTCATCATCAGATGAAAATGTTGCATGTATTTTTTTGTCAGGGTAACAGACACGTTTACTCTCTTCCATCTTCCTCATTGGATACAGAAGGTCAGAGTAGTGAGTCTGTATTTCTGCAGATGGTCCAGATGCTCTGTCCCGCACTGGTGCCTTCTTTCCCAGAGACCCCATCTGCCTGGGCCAGGCACCACTTGGCTTCTGCTTCTCCTCGATCTCCTGGAGCAAAAGCAGCACCTGCTCCATCATGGTGGGTTCCTGTACTGTACAACCTGCTGGATCAGATCATCCAGGATGGAGCAGATCAGCTTATTCATCCCTTTCCTACAAGAGGCATCAAAGGAGCACTCAGGAGGGCAGAGAGGGGGGCTACCCTTGCTAGCAGCACTCTCAGCCAGGTCCATAGCTGTGCTCCGTAGCTGAGCCATCTCTCATTAACCTTTACAGCTTGGGTGTGGCAGGAGGGTGGAGGTGCCAGGGCTCGTGGCCACCAGAGCACATGGAATCCTGAGAGGTATGGCTGCCTGCAATGGGGGCCCTGGGTGGAAGAGCTGTCTCTGTACCTCCACAACCCCGTGGCACTCATTAAAGGGGCTATAGCTGGGGGAGAAGTTCAGCCATGTGGGAGGAGAGGTGATGCTGGGCTCCATTCCCAGCCCCTCATGGCTTGGGCTTGGTGCATAGCCAGCATCCACATTACCAAAGTATCCTACCAGGGATCAGGGCACACTCCCGTGGCTCTGGCAATACCTCTGTCACATGTGATTTGGGCTGGACTTCGCCTGATGGGGCACTGCCCCAGGCACAGTCTTGGCACAGGATCCAGTACTACTCCAGGCACAGTCCTGGCACAGGTGCCAGCCAGTTCAGAGGTTGTGAAGGCTACCAGCAGGGAAGACAGCCAGTGCTGTGTAGACCCACTGTCAGCCATGGAGCAGGAAGATGCAATCAGGCAGGAGCTGGGAAGCCTTCATGGCATTCCCCTCTACAAGAGCTTCATCGAGGGCTGGCCTCAGGTGAAGGCTTTCCAAGCACGTCCAGATGACCTGCTCATCTCCACTTACCCCAAATCAGGTGAGTGGTCCTGGGGAAGGGTGCCAGGGGCATGGGGTGACACCAGCCTCTGCAATGCTGTCCCTCTGTGGCAGGCACAACGTGGCTGAGTGAGATCATGGACATGATCTACCACAATGGCGATGTGGAGAAGTGCCGACGGGATGCCATCTACAACCGTGTGCCCTTCTTGGAGTTGAAGGTCTCCAAGAGTCTGTGTGGTGAGCTTCCCCAGCCTGGCTGCCTGGCTTGGGTAGAGAGGGAACTGAGCCAGCATGAGGGTGCGGGTGCTGGGGCTCAAACATCTAAGTCCCCTGTGCCACAGGTGTTGATCAGCTGGAGAACACCCCATCCCCGCGGCTGGTAAAGACCCATCTCCCGGTCCAGCTCCTCCCAACCTCCTTCTGGGAGAAGGACTGCAAGGTAACATGGCAGGTGCTCCCTGTCTCCCCATCTGGGTTGGTGGGGAGGAGGCACTACTCTGTACCTCCCAAACACATCCTTGGCTCTCTCCAGATTATCTACATGGCCCGCAACCCCAAGGATGTTGTCATCTCGTACTACTACTTCCACCAGATGGCCAAGATACACCACGACCCTGGCACAAAGGCTGAGTTCTTGGAGAACTTCATGGCTGGCAAAGGTGTGAGCTGAGCCACAGCATGCCCACCCTGCCATGCCAGTGGGAAGGACATCCCCCGCTACCCCTCTTTTCAGCTAATCTTGACCATATCCCACAGTGCCCTACGGATCCTGGTATGACCACGTGCGTGGATGGTGGGAGAAGAAGCGGGAGAAGAAGATACTCTACCTCTTCTATGAGGACATGAAGAAGGTGAGGGTGGGATGGAGGGGAAGGAACCCTGGTTGCCCACCCCCCCCCCCCCCCCATGAAGAAGGTGAGGGTGGGATGGAGGGGAAGGAACCCTGGTTGCCCACCCCCCCCCCCCACCCCCACTTTCCCACTTTTTTGGCAGCCTGCTCATATCAGTCACCCTGCAGGACCCACGGCAGGAGGTGCAGAAGATCTTGCAGTTCCTGGGTAAAGAGTTGTCAGAGAGAACAGTGGAGAGCATCCTGCACCACACCTCCTTCCAAGAGATGAAGAAGAACCCTGCTGCCAACTATGAGACCATGCTTCCCACCTTGATGGATCACAGCATCTCCCCCTTCCTCCGAAAAGGTGGGGGTTTGGCCAGTGGTGGAGGATTTGGGAGGGATGTCCCTGGATTGTATTTCAGCCCCCATCTGTGGCTGCAAATATATCATGTGTGTGAGGATTTACCCAGTTATTTTCTTGCTTCCAGGGATCTCTGGAGACTGGAAGAACCATTTCACTGTGGCCCAGAATGAGCGCTTTGACCAGCACTACCAGGAGCTCATGGCAGGCTCTGACCTCTGCTTCCAGATGGAACTGTGAGGGACTCATCTCCCTTTCCAGGAGGACTGTGCTTCTTGCTCTCCCAGTGGGGAGGATGGATCCAGATGGAGATGTTTGCACTAATTCACTTTTCCCCCTGCAATAAATTGTGATAAATGGAAGTTGAGTCATTGCCTGCAGGGAAAATGAGGGTGGGGCCTGAACCCCCGGAACTCTAGGCAGTGTCCAGGAACACCTTCATGGTCATCAGGAGAGAGGGTGGGCATACAGTGGATTTTTAGTTAGTGATGGTCAGGCATCCCTGCGAGTGGGCACCTTCCCAGAAATCACCACTGGCCCTTGGCAACTTGGGCTGCCCCAGCCTACCAAGGTGCCGGGAGGGACAAAGATCGATGACTAGTGGAAAATCCCCAGAGCACCAGTAAATCCAGTGCTGACACAGCCCTTGCGTGCACAAGAGCTTTCATGCCGCTGGGTTGTGCCAATTTTCTTGACAGAGAGGGTGGGCTCTCCTTGGCCCAGCTGGAGCTTGGCAGCCCATAGTTTTTGGAACAAAGGTGAAGGGAAACAGCTCCCTGCTGGTATGTGGCCAGGGTCAGCAACATCACTGTCCTTGCTGGACAAAGAACACACCTTTCAGCCTGTAACCTGGCTGCACCTTGCCCTTGCTCTGGGATGCCTGGAGCTAACCAGTCCCTGTCCCACTGGGTGCAAAGGTGTGCTTTGAAGCCCCAAGTTCCCCATTTAAGCCCCATTTCTGGCCGGTTCTTCAGTTTCCAAGATTGCAGATTCTTGGCAAGACAGCCTTGTGGGGTTGTTCTATCCCAAAAGAGATGCAGCCCAGATCCAACTGCTAAAGAGCAGCAGTGCTATGAGGGGACTTGCCTCACAGAAATAAATCGTTTGCACACATTCATTTAAATGCCATGATGCCATCTCCAGTGGAGATGCCTTCCATTGAAAGAAGTGTTTCCCCAGCTCCTGGCTTTGCCTGCCCTGTTTGCACACGCAGCAAATTTTGCTGGCACGTGGACAGTGAAACACCTGAACACCTGCCCTGGCATGCCTCATCTCAGCAGGAACTTGGCCCTGGAGACGAATCAGGGACGTTTTTATCAAGGCTGCCAACAGCTGAGCTGCTGACCCTGCCCAGCTGCCATCTCTCCTGCCCTTTGCACTCCCTCCCAGCTAAGGTAAGGAAGAACATTTTCCCACCATCAGCACCTTTAAACGCTTTTCGCAGGAGCACTTTTGCTTTGCAACCCTGCAAACTTTGGACCTGTATTTGAGTGGAGTAGGGGTATGACCAAAGCCTGAACCCCACATCCCACTCGCAAGCCCCACGTCGGTGTGAGGAGCTGGGGACGTCCACGCAGGTGACTCTTGGACCAGGACAGGGTGATGTTCAATGTCCCGGGATGTGGGTTGGGATTTCCTCCCTGTGTTTACTTCAGCGGGCGGAGGGGAAGCTGTGGTTTCCGCCGTCCCGAGGGGCGCTGAGCACGGACAGCTCCTCACAGGCATTTGGGGACCGTTCTCATCCCCGCTCGCCCCTTCCCTGCTCTCCTCCCACCGCAGCACCGGGACCGGGTCCTCCAGGCTCCTGTCCCAGCGGTGTCCCCCGCCTCGCTGCTCCTCCATCTTCCGTGCAGGGGAAGGAAATTAATAAATCCCGCCCCGTAAGCGGCGGACCAAGCTTTGCCCCCTCCCTGCCAGAGCGCCCGGAAAAGAGGCAAGTAACCGGGGGGCTGTGGCCGCGGCCATTTCGGGGTACCCTGGCCTCATAAGCGGGGACCTGCGGGGGTGGATGCGGGGGCTCCGTGTCCCCGCAAGCCCCCGGGAGATGGAAGCAAGACACCAAGCCTCTCTCCAAAAATCACAGCGTGGGGGTTTTGCCGCTGGCACGTCCAGCGTTTCTATCTCTGCCGTGGGTAGAAAGGCTTCCTAGGGAGAGAGAGAGTCCTGTGAGTTCTGCTCCTCGTTCCTGTCTCTGTCAAACCCTCATTCAAGCCCCCTGAAAGCAAGGCTGCTGTACGACAGGGAGATGGGGAGGAAAAAGCAAGAGAAAGCAGCCTGCAGCTCCAACCAGGAATGCCCTTGAGAGTTTTTACACCCAGGAACAGCACTGCCAGCTTGGTATGGGCAGCTGCCCACTGCCTGTCCGACCTGAGCCCCCCAGAGCTGGCCATGCCCTTCCACTCTCCCTGCACCACCATCTGGGCCCCAAAATGCCCACAGAAAACAGGTGCCACCTCCTGCAATGCCAGCAAGCAGGGCATGGTTTCCTTCCTATGGCTAGGGCAGCTGAGCTCAGCAGGGATTTTGGAGCCTGTAGGGAAGGAGATGGCCCCATGATGCTCCTTGCTGCCAGCCAGCCTTGCCACATGTCCCTGTCCCCAGCAGGATGGCCGATTCGAACACCTATCTGCGGCAGCCTTGGCGCACCGTGCATGGCATCCCCATGGTCAATGCCTTCGCCCTCAACTGGGAACGGGTTGACAGTTTCCAGACCCGCCCTGAGGACATCGTGGTGGTCACCTACCCCAAATCTGGTGAGCATCCCCAGGCACCAAAGAAGGGCCATGCTCAGGAAGGGAGCCCATGCTGCAGGTACCTGGGCTGGGACCAGGGGTGTGCCAAAAGGCAACGCTGGTTGATGGTGACCCTCTGGTGCCTGAGATGGGTCTCCAGGGGGAATTGCATCAGCTGGACAACCAACCTCTCCCCACCAGGCACCACCTGGGTCAGTGAGATCGTGGACATGGTCCTGAAAGGCGGAGACCCAGAAAAATGCAAGCAGGATGACATTGTGAACCGGGTGCCCATGATGGAGTGTGCTGCCCCTGGGAAGTTACCAGCAGGTAGCGGTGGGGCAGAGGGTGATGGGTGGCAGTAGGTACTGGAAGGGGACGGGTTTGGTTTTGTATGGGAGGGCACTACAGTGGGATCACTTCTGGGAGAAATCCTTACAGGCACAGAGCAGCTGGAGGTCATGCCATCCCCTCGCATCATCAAGACCCACATCCCAGCTCACATCTTGCCCAAATCCTTCTGGGAAAACCGCTGCAAGGTAACAGGCTGGAATGAACATACTTAGAGGATTCCAGCAGACATAAGGGGCTCCCTGCCTCGCTGGGACCTTGCAAGTCCCCACATGCCAACGAGCTTTCTGCAGATGATCTATGTGGGGCGCAACGCCAAGGACGTGGCTGTCTCCTACTACCACTTTGATTTGATGAACAAGTTCCATCCACACCCCGGGACATGGGCCCAGTATCTGGAGGAGTTCATGGCTGGCAGAGGTGGGACAGGGCACCCCTGGGTGCATGCAGGGGATCCTGCAAAGGACTGTCACCTACTGGCTGCTCTCCTCATGCAGTGGCGTATGGTTCCTGGTAC